AAGTCGTTCATTTTTCGAGGCATTCACTAAGGCCATCGTCCTTGTACACTACCCCCTTCCTTTTGCACAACTTTCTAACCATGAATGATGGAGATAAGAAGAATGACGTCATATCCTGGACGCTATATTTCATGAATCTCAGAGCCCTTGTACTAATGTGACGGACGGAAGTCCACTAAGCTTGGCGAATTTAGCAACAGACTTTGACTAATTAGATTTAAAAAAAAAACAAAAAAAAAAAAATAAAAAAAAATAATAAAAAAAAACAAAAAAAAAAAAAAAAAAAAAAAAATAAAAAAAAATAATAAAAAAAAACAACAAACTATGGGAAACATAACTTATATATGGGGCTATGTTAACGTCCCAGAAATGTGTTCATTGATAATTTCTTCTATGAAAATAAATGGATACTACATTACATAAATATTTATTTTTTCAGACAACATTGATAAAGGCACGTTTTCTTGTATTTTTCTTTAAAGCAATTTAGATAAAAAATAAAATATCAGGAGGTCAGCGGCGGAACACAAATAAAAGGGGCATGGGAAGGGGGGGGCGCACTAATTCCAACTTATCGTGCAGTCATATGTTTGCTACTTTGTATCATTCAGCACTACTACCTACACGTCTGATATATGTCTGCAAGTCTTAAGTGAAGCAGACGTGGTCAGCATGTGCCTGAATGTCTTGCTTTCTCTTGCTTTACAAGGCAACGTCCCATTTCTCACCTGGCGTAGGCGTGCCACTCATCCTGGTCGCAGCTAAGCCACTGACTTTTGTCAATTTCCTTTTATTTTTCCTCCACAAGGAAAGATAATTTGTTAAAATGTATTACAAGTTATTTGTTTGGTTAATTCCCTTATCACAGGTACATCCAATAATAATGTAATTAAAAATAAATAAACACATACTAGTATAAAAGTTAAACATATTTAAAAAAAAAATATTTGAATCATAATTATTTCTAACCAAGTTCTTCTTAAGATATTATTCATAGTTTTGAATCCTTTATATTAACTTCACTTGTTTTTCTTGGCTGGTTGATTGACAATTTCTTTGGACGGCTAAATGACAATTTTCTGTCAACTTATCAAGATGAAACTTGGCACATAGACTCGTTGCCGATTCTATCTATTACATAGACAGTTAAGAATGCATAATCAAATAGCCTGCTCAGAATGAAACATTAAATATCCAGTTAAGAATGTAGCAGTAAATATCTAGATCAGAATGTAGCACACACAGGCAGCTCTGAAATGTAGCATTAAATATCCAGCTCACAATGTAACATTAAATAGCCAGCTCAGAATAAAGCATTAAATAGGCAGCTCAGAAATATAGCATTAAATAGCCAGCTCAGAATAAATCATTAAATAGGTGGCTCAGAATAAAGCATTAAATAGGCGGCTCAGAATAAAGCATTAAATAGGCGGCTCAGAATAAAACATTAAATAGGTGGCTCAGAATAAAACATTAAATAGGTGGCTCAGAATAAAACATTAAATAGGCGGCTCAGAATATATCATTAAATAGGCGGCTCAGAATAAAACATTAAATAGGCGGCTCAGAATAAAACATTAAATAGGCGGCTCAGAATAAAGCATTCAATAGGCGGCTCAGGATAAAACATTAAATAGGCGGCTCAGAATAAAACATTAAATAGGCGGCTCAGAATAAAGCATTAAATAGGCGGCTCAGAATAAAACATTAAATAGGCGGCTCAGAATAAAGCATTAAATAGGCGGCTCAGAATGAAGCATTAAATAGGCGGCTCAGAATAAAACATTAAATAGGCGGCTCAGAATAAAGTATTAAATAGGCGGCTCAGAATAAAGCATTAAATAGGCGGCTCAGAATAAAACATTAAATAGGCGGCTCAGAATAAAGCATTAAATAGGCGGCTCAGAATAAAGCATTAAATAGGCGGCTCAGAATAAAACATTAAATAGGCGGCTCAGAATAAAGCATTCAATAGGCGGCTCAGAATAAAGCATTAAATAGGCGGCTCAGAATAAAGCATTAAATAGGCGGCTCAGAATAAAGCATTAAATAGGTGGCTCAGAATAAAGCATTAAATAGGCTGCTCAGAATAAAGCATTAAATAGGCGGCTCGGAATAAAGCATTAAATAGGCGTCTCAGAATGTAGCATTAAATTGCCAGGTCAGAGTGCAGCATTTAAATAGAAGCCACAGAATGAAGCATTAAAGAGCCAGCTGAAAATGTAGCATTATTATTAATAGTCAGCTCACAGTGTAACACTAAATAACGAGCTCAAAATTTAGCATTAAATAACCAACTCAAAATGTAGCATTTTGTAATACATTCTAGCCAGAGCGTTTATGTGAAACACATGACACATTATTCATCCCATCAACACAATACACACAAACAATAAATGTCATAATACATTACAACATGTATTTTGTTTTCATGAGACATAGATTGTCAAAAACATACACTATTGAGCTCATACACACATAAGACAATCTTGAACTCATTAACACACGTTTAACATGTACACACTTACACATCCCTAGCGCAGTTGTTCCGCCTTAGAAATACTGATTTAATAAAAACCCATAGTCTAATGGCTACCAATAAAATATTGATATCTGGTCATTAAACTGGAACAACCAGATGTATAATTTGTGTCAAGAAATGTTTCCAGGACACGATCATTGATCGGTTTGCCAATAATTAATCGATAATTTCACACAGAGCAAGTTCAAAACATAGAAAACATTTGTCTAGATCACGGTGACTAATCTGAGAATAATCTGTGTCAAAACTGTGACTTATCTGTGACTAATATGTGAATAAAATGTGACTAATATCTGACTAATCTGTGACTTATATGTGACTAAGGTGTGACTAATCTGTGCCACATATGTGACTAATCTGTGCCACATATGTGACTAATCTGTGCCACATATGTGACTAATCTGTGCCACACTTCAGACTTGTATTGATAAAGAAAGCATCGCTTATGTTCAGAGAAATATTAAAAAGGGAAAATGTTTCTTAAAATACTTTCAACGCCATTATTCTAGATGAGGCGCTAACGCCCTCATTCTAGGTGGGGCGTACGCCCTTATTCTAGGTGTGGTACTAACGACCTCATTCTAGGTGGGGCGTACGCCCTTATTCTAGGTGTGGTACTAACGCCCTCATTCTAGGTGTGGCGTTATGGCATCATTCTATATGAGGTGTTAGCACCCTTATCTTAGGTGTGGCGTTAACACCCTAAATTTAGATGTGGTGCTTACGCCCTCATTCTAGGTATTGAGCTAACGCCCTTATTCTAGGTGTGGCGCTGGCGCCCTCATTCTATTTGAGGCGCTAATGCCGCTCTTCCAGGTATTGTGCTAACGCCCTTATTCTAGGTATTTTACTAACGCCCTTATTCTAGGTGAGGCGCTAACACTCATATTTTAATATTGGCAGTAACGCCGTCTTTCAAGAGAGATGCTTACGTCCTCCAAATTACCCTCTTTTCAAGGGGAAGATGTCTCAAACATGAATAAAAGCAAATTCCGGAATTTTGTGTTACATGAAAATTCTTTAAAAAAAAACTATCGCAGAGCGTTTACAGTGTGATATTTTCTTTTGATTTCTTTCTGAAATGGTTTTGAAATAAATCTGCGGCGTGAAGGCGCCTGGGTCTTAAGTCTAGTGACGTAGTTCAGGGCCAGGATAAAATGCTGAGTAGCGAGCCGAAGAAATGTTTTGTCCAATGTTCAGCCCAACACTCTATGGCTGGATTTCCCATTTTATAAATGAATTATCTGAAAAATTGTTTTATGGGTTATTTCTTTTTATTTCTTTGTGATAACGTCAACAACAATGGGCTCGAGTACATTACATGTTGTAATTAAATGTAATGAAGTCTTAAGTCAAATATTCATAGATCTGATATATTGAAATCTAAATTCTGTTATACAGATCTCAAATGTATCGATATCTGAAAGCTGTTATTCACTTATCTAAATTACCGGTATTGAAATCTGAAGTCAGTTAGTTTATAAATCTAATTTATTAAAAGCTAAAAAACTCTTATTCATCAATCTAATTGATTGAAGATGACTTTGATCTCTTAAACAGTTTGAAGTCAGATGGGACTGCGCTCTTGTTCTCTCCAATCTTCCGACCGGAGTCTTGAGTCCACGTGCTGACCTTTGACCCGTCCACATCCACCTCCTCGGAGGCATGGTCCTCACCACACTGCACGTCTAACGGGACTGTGAGGAATGACGTGAACTCACTGACCTCGTCTGCAAGGATTGGAACAATTCAAAGTGAGTTCAAATGTTTGAACGTACAAGTAACCTAGAGCCTGTGTGGGGTGAGAGAGTAGCAATACCGCGATCCAGGAGCGCTGCATAAAGAGAGCGGGCCAAACATCTCTACAGATTACTATAGTTTAATCTGGCACAACTCACACATGGTGACGTAAAACAATTGACATTAAACCTTAATCCATGCTTGATTACCACTTAATCAATTAAAAAAAAAACTTAATCCATGTTGTATTACAACTTAATCCATGTTGTATTACAACTTAATCCATGCTGTATTTAAACCTAATCCATGTTTTATTTCAACTTAATCCATGTTTTATTACAACTTAATCCATGTTTCATTTCAACTTAATCCATGTTTAATTACAACTTAATACATGTTTAATTTCAAATGGAACCATGTTTAATTACAACTTAATCCATGTTTTATTTCAACTTAATCCATGTTTTCTTGAAATTTATTATTTATTTTTTTCCATGAAAATTAAATCCATGTTTTAAAACAGCTATGTTCATTGTATAATATCAACCCGTTGCAATGATAAAAACAAAAGAACACAAGACCGGACGTACGTTTCATGGAACCGACGGCAGTCCCGACGTCCGACATATGGCTACAGCTGTACGATTGGCTCTTCATCTTCAACAGCTGCGCCCGGAAGCGGAAACCAAAGATGCAGTAGAGGAAAAAATTGGTTGCGTTGGAGAGGTAGACGATTTGAACAGTGATGGATGATGCTGTGGATGTGAAGTAATACAAAGCCATGTGTGGATGTGAAGTAATACAATGCCATGTGTGGATGTGAAGTAATACAATGCCATGTGTGGATGTGAAGTAATACAATGCCATGTGTGAATGTGAAGTAATACAATGATATGTGTGGATGTGAAGTAATACATTGCCATGTGTGAATGTGAAGTAATACAATGCCACGTGTGGATGTGAAGTAATACAATGACATGTGTGGATGTGAAGTAATACAATGACATATGTGGATGTGAAGTAATACAATGCCATGTGTGGATGTCAAGTAATACAATGCATGTGTGGATGTGAAGTAATACAATGCCATGTGTGGATGGGAAGTAATACAATGCCCTGTGTGGATGTGAAATAATACAATGCCCTGTGTGGATGTGAAGTAATACAATACCATGTGTGGATGTGAAGTAATACAATGCCATGTGTGGATGTGAAGTAATACAATGCCATGTGTGGATGTGAAGTAATACAATGCCATGTGTGAATGTGAAGTAATACAATGCCATGTGTGGATGTGAAGTAATACAATGCCATGTGTGGATGTGAAGTAATACAATGCCATGTGTGGATGAAAAGTAATACAATGCCCTGTGTGGATGTGAAGTAATACAATGACATGTGGGGATGTGAAGTAATACAATGCCATGTGTGGATGTGAAGTAATACAATACCATGTGTGGATGTGAAGTAATACAATGCCATGTGTGGATGTAAAGTAATACAATGCCATGTGTGAATGTGAAGTAATACAATGCCATGTGTGGATGTGAAGTAATACAATGCCATGTGTGGATGTGAAGTAATACAATGCCATGTGTGGATGAAAAGTAATACAATGCCCTGTGTGGATGTGAAGTAATACAATGACATGTGTGGATGTGAAGTAATACAATGCCATGTGTGGATGTGAAGTAATACAATGCATGTGTGATGTGAAGTAATACAATGCCATGTGTGGATGTGAAGTAATACAATGCCATGTGTGGATGTGAAGTAATACAATGCCATGTGTGGATGTAAAGTAATACAATGCCCTGTGTGGATGTGAAGTAATACAATGCCATGTGTGGATGTGAAGTAATACAATGCCATGTGTGGATGGGAAGTAATAGTAATTGAGATTAAAATAAGAAAGCTAAAGAACTGTCTTTTGTATCACTCTGTTCAGTGCTAGTGACGTGGCGGAAGCCATGAAATATCCCTAGGCTCTATCCCTGTGAGGATACGAAGATTAAAAACAAATAGAGGACACTCCAGCCGTGCCACTACCTCATGTTGTTCGATATGGATCGGTGTTGATTCATTCATTATTGTTTGCAATAATAATAATTAGTTGTCTTATATAGCGCGGTACCCCAGCTTAGGACTGGGCTCACGCGCTGTACATAAGAATATTTAGCAAAAGAGACCTAATCATGATATCAAAATAAAATGCATACATGAAATTAAAAAAGGCAAGTAGTCGAAAGACAAAAACAAAGGTACCCAAACCCACCCCAGAAATTTTACAAGGCAAACCATGGACGGCAGCCAGCAGGATCATTTATCGGTCAGAGGAGGGGAATCAGTCAGGGTAATATAGTTTAAAGAGATGTGTTTTGAGTGCAGTTTTGAAGGCCTGGGTGGTTGGTGCATTGCGGATGTGTAGTGGCAAAGAATTCCATTGTTTAGCGGCGCAGAAAGAGAAAGATCGTTCACCATATAATTTAGTGCGTGTCTTGGGAACGGACAGAATACGCGAGTCTGCGGAGGAGCGAAGTTGTCGAAGGGGTGAATAGACAGAAAGAAGTTCAGTTAGATAGGAAGGGCAGGAATCCGAGAAAGAGTTGTGACAGAGAAAAGACAGCTTGTAGTCAATGCGTGCCTCTATAGGGAGCCAATGAAGAGAGTGGAGTGACGTGGTTTCTTTTTTTGCTTTTAGAACAAGCCTCGCAGCAGAGTTTTGAACTTTCTGCATTTTTTCTATGCAGTGTTTTGATGAACATGACAGAAGAGAGTTGCACTAGTCAAGACGAGAGAAAACAAGAGCGCAGACTAGAGTTTTTTTTTGCTAACTGTGAGGTAGTGGCGTATGGAGCTGATCTGACGGATAGCGGTGTATGCCGAACGACAAATGTGAGAGATATGTTTATCGAGAGACATGTTGTTAGAAAGAATATAAACAAGATTCCTAGCAGAGGGTCTAAACAAGACAGCTACGCTCTTCCATTGACAATACAACCCTCTCAATCCCAAGAACCAAAACTAAGACCACCGGTGAACGCTCCTTCTACTTCCATGGGCCCACGTTCTGGAACCAGCTCCCCTTCCATATCCGTCAATTGTAAAACCTCGTCCACTTTCAAAAAGTCCCTTAACACCCATCTGTTTAGGTCCGCCTATGACCTGTGATGCACTATCCTTGCCCTGCCTCATTTTCTGTCTCCGGTTGATCTTGTAGTATGGGCCAAAACGTGCCAAATTGTCCTCGCTTTATAGCCATTTAATTGTTTCTATAGTATAGTGGTTACTATCCTAGTGTCTCATTTTTATTTTACTTAGTTTACATGTTTTTAATAATTGTAAAAATAAATAAAGTGTATGTCGGAGTTACCTACTTGAAATAAGGTGGGAAGTGTTGAGGTAGAGGATGATTTGTAATTGTAAATGAGGAGTGCTTCTGTTTTGTCATCATTAAGCTTCAACTTGCTGAGTGTCATCCATGACTTGACATCATCAATGCACGCCTGCAAAGTCTGGAAAGCGGAATCGACACACGATGGATGGGTATGCTTGTATACCTGCGTGTCATATGCAAATGACTGGTTCTCAACAGCATGCCTCCCAAGCAAGAGGAGCAGTGGTCTGGTATACAATGTGAATAGAACCTGGCCCAAAATGGACCCCTGTGGCACTCCGTACACCAAAATCAGCCTTGCCGGAGGGACAGCCATCGACAGAGACAACTTGCGTTCTATTAGAGAGGTAGGACCCTGACCAAGCCAAAACTGAACCAGAAATTCCAAAGTAATTTTCAAGGGTTTTGAAAAAGGATTTTATGGTCAACAGTGTTTATAGCAGACATCTCTTTTCTTTCAAGGCTGGACCTTAGGACTTAAATATTATTTTCTTGAACTGACTTACCTGTTTTCTTTAATTTTGTATTAATAGCTGGGCTATGTCAATTCCAGCGGCGAAACTTTGTGAGATGTGGGGTGTACAAACATAACCTCAACTAAGATGAATTTAATTTATTTTAGATGAAGACGTCGGAGGTCGTATCCGGACATTTGTTTGAAAGAAATTTCGTCGACGGAAAGTCGATCGACGGAAATTTGGTCGAATACATTACTTTCTTCATTTCACACGATCTCATTTTTCTATTAATTTTTTTTTTTTGGACGCGTTATTAACGAGGGCAGACCGCCTACTTTGCATTTCCTACGCCTCTTGCATGCCCATCCAAAAAAACTGCTTTTCCCTGCCCCGAACTGCTTGTCTAACATAAACGCTGCTTACCTTGTATTGAATAGAGTTTGTTGAATGTTTGGTGGATGCGATAGTTTTGTGTTTTGGATTATACCTGTGTCTGATGAAAACAGAATTACAACCCATCGGCAACACATCCGACACAACACTGGACAACATACAATTAACAACACATCCGGAACAACACTGGACAACATACAATTAACAACTCATCCGACACAACACTGGACAACATACAATTAACAACACATCTGGCAAAACACTGGACAACATACAATTAACAACACATCCGGCACAACACTGGACAACATACAATTAACGACACATCCGGCACAGCACTGGACAACATACAATTAACAACACATCCGGCACAACACTGGACAACACACAAGGAAACACATCCATCACACCATAGGACAACACATCTAGCAACATATCTGACACAGCATTGGATAACACAGATCTAGCAACACGATGGAGCACACATCCTACAAAGATGAAAATCTCAGTTACTCAGCTCTGCCTTGGCTCGCTCCACTGGGTTGTTGTATCTAAACAGGACGGCCCCCATCAGGTTGCCCATCAGAAGGGGAATGATACTGAAGACAAAGTGGACGCTAGATACGATGACCAGTGTGATCATGTGACGACTGACTGTGGTTGGGATAGAGTAGAGCAATTATCGGTCTCAGAGTCGTTCACATGCAGAGGATTTACAAGCAGTTTCTTAACAATATCTTTACAAACCCTGCCGTCACAAGCAGTGTCTCCACAAAGAATGTCTTCAGAAGCAATGTCTTTATAAATAGTATCTTTACAAATAATAGATTCCCAAACAGTGTTGTTTCAAAACCAAGCTGTTTACAAACAGGGTTCAATTTGTAGAGGATAATAACATGACACGCCAATGTAAAAGACAATTACTCTCTTTTTCCTACCACCAATTTTACAAATATTTTATGTGGTCAGTTAAATGAATGTGGTCAGTTCAATATGTGGTTATTTCAATATATGTGATCAGTTCAATGGATGACGTGGTCATTTCAACGTGTTCAGTTTAATGTATGACGTTTTCAGTCAATGGATGACGCGTTCATTTAAAAAAATGACGTGTTCATTTCAATGAATTACATGGTTATGTCAATAGATGACGTGTTCAGTTCAATGTATGACGTGTTCAGTTCAATGTATGACATGGTCAGTGCAATGAATGACGTTGTCATTTTAAAGGATGACGTGGTCATTTTAATTGATAGCTTAGTCAGTTCAGCGTGTGTATAGCGTTGTCATGTCAATGTATCACATGCTCAGTTCAAGGTATTACGTTTTCATTTTAATGAAAAACGTGGTCATTATTATTGATGACGTGGTCAGTTCAATGGATGACTTGGTCATTTCAATGTATAACGTGGTCATTTCAATGTATGTTTTGGTCAATTCAATGTATAACGTGGTCAGTGCAATAAATGTTAACAGTTTAATGAATGACATAGTCAGTTCAATGTATGACGTGGTCAAATCAATGTATGACTTGGGCAGTTCAATGTATAACGTGGTAAGTTCAATGTATAACGTAATAATTTCAATGTATGACTTGGTCAGTTCAATGTATACCATGGTCAGTGCAACGTATGAATATGGTCATTTAAAAGCATAATGTGGTGAGTTCAGTGTAAAACGTGGTCAGTTCAATGTATGACATACTCAGTTCAATGTATGACGTTGTCAATTCAATGTATGACATAGTCAGTTCAATGTATGACGTTGTCAATTCAATGTATTACATAGTCAGTTCAATGTATGACGTTGTCAATTCAATGTATGACATAGTCAGTTCAATGTATGACGTGGTCAATTCAATGTATGACATAGTCAGTACAAAGTATGACGTGGTCAGTTCAATATAGGACGTGGTCAATTCAATGTATGACGTGGTCAGTTCAATGTATGACGTTGGTCAGTTCAATGTATGACGTGGTCAATTCAATGTATGACATAGTCAGTTCAATATATGACGTGGTCAGTTCAATGTATGACGTGGTCAGTTCAATGTATAACTTCGTCAATTCAATGTATAACGCTGTCAATTCAATGTATAACGTGGTCAATTCAATGTATGACGTGGTCAGTTAAATGTATGACGTGGTCAATTCAATGTATGACGTAGTCAGTTCAATGTATGACGTGGACAGTTCAATGTATAACGTGGTCAATTCAATATATGACGTAGTCAGTTCAATGTATGACCTGGTCAATTCAATGAATGACATGGTCAGTTCAATGTATAACGTGGTGAAATCAATGTTTGACGTGGTCAATTCAATGTATTACGTGGTCAATTCAATGTATAACGTGGTCAATTTAATGTATAACGTGATCAATTCAATGTATAACGTGGTCAATTCAATGTATAACGTGGTCAGTTCAATGTATTACGTAGTCAGTTCAATGTATGACGTAGTCAGTTGAATGTATGACATGGTCAATTCAATGTATGACGTGGTCAATTAAATATATAACGTGGTCAATTCAATGTATGACGTAGTCAGTTCAATGTATGACGTTGTCAATTCAATCTATGACATAGTCAGTTCAATGTATAACGTTGTCAATTCAATGTATGACATAGTCAGTTCAATGTATGACGTTGTCAATTCTATGTATGACATAGTCAGTTCAATGTATGACGTTGTCAATTCAATGTATGACATAGTCAGTTCAATGTATGACGTGGTCAATTCAATGTATGACATAGTCAGTTCAAAGTATGACGTGGTCAGTTCATGTCAACGTAGGACGTGTTTAATTCAATGTATGACGTGGTCAGTTCAATGTATGACGTTGGTCAGTTCAATGTATGACGTGGTCAATTCAATGTATGACATAGTCAGTTCAATATATGACGTGGTCAGTTCAATGTATGACGTGGTCAGTTCAATGTATAACGTCGTCAATTCAATGTATAACGCGGTCAATTCAATGTATAACGTGGTCAATTCAATGTTTGACGTGGTCTGTTAAATGTATGACGTGGTCAAGTCAATGTATGACGTAGTCAGTTCAATGAATGACGTGGACAGTTCAATGTATAACGTGGTCAATTCAATGTATGACGTAGTCAGTTCAATGTATGACGCGGTCAGTTCAATGTATAACGTGGTCAATTCAATGTATGACGTAGTCAGTTCAATGCATGACCTGGTCAATTCAATAAATGACATGGTCAGTTCAATGTATATCGTGGTAAAATTATTGTATGACGTGGTCAATTCAATGTATTACTTGGTCAATTCAATGTATAACATGGTCAATTTAATGTATAACGTGGTCAATTCAATGTATAACGTGGTCAGTTCAATTTATTACGTAAACAGTTCAATGTATGACGTAGTCAGTTCAATGTATGACTAGGTCAATTCAATGTATGACGTGGTCAATTAAATGTATAACGTGGTCAATTCAATGTATGACGTAGTCAGTTCAATGTATGACGTGGTCAGTTCAATGTATGACGTAGTCAGTTCAATGTATGACGTGGTCAGTTCAATGTATTACGTGGTTAGTTCAATGTATGACATGGTCAATTCAATGTATGACGTAGTCAGTTCAATGTAGAACGTGGTCAATTCAATGTATAACGTGGTCAATTCAATGTATGACATGGTCAATTCAATGTATAACGTGGTAAATTCAATGTATGACGTAGTCAGTTCAATGTATAACGTGGTCACTTCAATGTATTACGTAGTCAGTTCAATGTATGACGTAGTCAGTTCAATGTATGACGTGGTCTATTCAATATATGACGTGGTAAATTCAATGTATGACGTAGTCAGTTCAATGTATGACGTAGTCAGTTAAATGTATGACGTAGTCAGTTTAATGTATGACGTGGTCAGTTCAATGTATGACGTGGTCAGTTCAATGTATGACGTTGGTCAGTTCAATGTATGACGTGGTCAATTCAATGTATGACATAGTAAGTTCAATATATGACGTGGTCAGTTCAATGTATGACGTGGTCAGTTCAATGTATAACGTCGTCAATTCAATGTATAACGCGTTCAATTCAATGTATGACGTTGTCAATTCAATGTATGACATAGTCAGTTCAATGTATGACGTTGTCAATTCAATGTATGACATAGTCAGCTCAATGTATGACGTTGTCAATTCAATGTATGACATAGTCAGTTCAATGTATGACGTGGTCAATTCAATATATGACATAGTCAGTTCAATGTATGACGTGGTCAATTCAATGTATGACATAGTCAGTTCAAAGTATGACGTGGTCAGTTCAATAAAGGACGTGGTCAATTCAATGTATGACGTGGTCAGTTCAATGTATGACGTTGGTCAGTTCAATGTATGACGTGGTCAGTTCAATGTATAACGTGGTCAATTCAATGTATGACGTGGTCATTTCAATGTACAACGTGGTCAATTCAATGTATAACGTGGTCAATTCAATGTATAACGTGATCAATTCAATGTATAACCTAGTCAGTTCAATGTATAACGTGGTCAGTTCAATGTTAATCGTGGTCAATTCAATGTATAACGTGGTTAATTCAATGTATAACGTGGTCAATTCAATGTATAACCTGGTCAATTCAATGTATAACGTGGTCAGTTCAATGTATAACGTGGTCAATTCAATGTATAACGTGGTCAATTCAATGTATAACGTTGTCAATTCAATGTATAACGTGGTTAATTTAATGTAGAACGTGGTCAATTCAATGTATAACGTGGTCAATTCAATGTAAAACGTGGTCAATTCAATTTAAAACTTGGTCAATTCAATGTTTAACGTGGTCAATTCAATGTATAACTTGGTCAGTTCAATGTATGACGTTGTCAGTTCAATGCATGACATGGTCATTTCAATGTATGACGTGGTCAGTTCATTCCATGACGTGGTCAGTTCTATGTATGACGTGGTCAATTCATTGTATAACGTGGTCAATTCAATGTATGACATGGTCAATTCAATGTATAACGTGGTCAATTCAATGTATGACGTAGTCAGTTCAATGTATAACGTGGTCAGTTCAATGTATTACGTAGTCAGTTCAATGTATGACGTAGTCAGTTCAATGTATGACGTGGTCTATTCAATATATGACGTGGTCAATTCAATGCATGACGTAGTCAGTTCAATGTATGACGTAGTCAGTTAAATGTATGACGTAGTCAGTTCAATGTATGACGTGGTCAGTTCAATGTATTACGTGGTTAGTTCAATGTATGACATGGTCAATTCAATGTATGACGTAGTCAGTTCAATGTATGACGTGGTCAGTTCAATGTTAATCGTGGTCAATTCAATGTATAACGTGGTTAATTCAATGTATAACGTGGTCAATTCAATGTGTAACCTGGTCAATTCAATGTATAACGTGGTCAGTTCAATGTATAACGTGGTCAATTCAATGTATATCGTGGTCAATTCAATGTATGACGTAGTCAGTTCAATGCATGACCTGGTCAATTCAATAAATGACATGGTCAGTTCAATGTATATCGTGGTAAAATTAATGTATGACGTGGTCAATTCAATGTATTACGTGGTCAATTCAATGTATAACATGGTCAATTTAATGTATAACGTGGTCAATTCAATGTATAACGTGGTCAGTTCAATTTATTACGTAAACAGTTCAATGTATGACGTAGTCAGTTCAATGTATAACGTGGTCAATTCAATGTATGACGTAGTCAGTTCGATGTATGACGTGGTCAGTTCAATGTATGACATAGTCAGTTCAATGTATGACGTGGTCAGTTCAATGTATTACGTGGTTATTTCAATGTATGACATGGTCAATTCAATGTATGACGTAGTCAGTTCAATGTATGACGTGGTCAGTTCAATGTATAACGTGGTCAATTCAATGTATGACATGGTCAATTCAATGTATAACGTGGTCAATTCAATGTATGACGTAGTCAGTTCAATGTATAACGTGGTCAGTTCAATGTATTACGTAGTCAGTTCAATGTATGACGTAGTCAGTTCAATGTATGACGTGGTCTATTCAATATATGACGTGGTCAATTCAATGTATGACGTAGTCAGTTCAATGTATGACGTAGTCAGTTAAATGTATGACGTAGTCAGTTTAATGTATGACGTGGTCAGTTCAAATTATGACGTGGTCAGTTCAATGTATGACGTTGGTCAGTTCAATGTATGACGTGGTCAATTCAATGTATGACATAGTCAGTTCAATATATGACGTGGTCAGTTCGATGTATGACGTGGTCAGTTCAATGTATAACGTCGTCAATTCAATGTATAACCCGGTCAATTCAATGTATGACGTTGTCAATTCAATGTATGACATAGTCAGTTCAATGTATGACGTTGTCAATTAAATGTATGACATAGTCAGTTCAATGTATGACGTTGTCAATTCAATGTATGACATAGTCAGTTCAATGTATGACGTGGTCAATTCAATGTATTACATAGTCAGTTCAATGTATGACGTGGTCAATTCAATGTATGACATAGTCAGTTCAAAGTATGACGTGGTCAGTTCAATATAGGACGTGGTCAATTCAATGTATGACGTGGTTAGTTCAATGTATGACGTTGGTCAGTTCAATGTATGACGTGGTCAGTTCAATGTACAACGTGGTCAATTCAATGTATAACGTGGTCAATTCAATGTATAACGTGATCAATTCAATGTATAACCTAGTCAGTTCAATGTATAACGTGGTCAGTTCAATGTTAATCGTGGTCAATTCAATGTATAACGTGGTTAATTCAATGTATAACGTGGTCAATTCAATGTATAACCTGGTCAATTCAATGTATAACGTGGTCAGTTCAATGTATAACGTGGTCAATTCAATGTATAACGTGGTCAATTCAATGTATAACGTTGTCAATTCAATGTATAACGTGGTTAATTTAATGTAGAACGTGGTCAATTCAATGTATAACAAGGTCAATTCAATGTAAAACGTGGTCAATTCAATTTAAAACTTGGTCAATTCAATGTTTAACGTGGTCAATTCAATGTATAACGTGGTCAGTTCAATGTATGACGTTGTCAGTTCAATGCATGACATGGTCATTTCAATGTATGACGTGGTCAGTTCATTCCATGACGTGGTCAGTTCAATGTATGACGTGGTCAGTTCATTGTATAACGTGGTCAGTTCATTTCTATGACGTGGTCAATTCAATGTATGACGTGGTCAGTTCAATGTATGACGTGTTCACCTTTTGTTGGTTGTTTGTTCTGTTCACGTGCCATTCGTTCCTTCTTCCTAAAATGAAACACCAGCAGGACAAGGGTCAATACGGACAGAATGATTGCCGGGAGGATGGAGTAGATGACCAGTATCAGGACTGACCAGAAGTTGTTTTGGATATAGCAAGAGTCGACTTTTCTGAAAGAAATAAGTAAATATACAGACGATTTGTTGTCTTTTATTTTATAAAAACTTGCTACATGTAAACTAATTAATAATCGCAAACTTTGATCATTTATGTGATAGCTTTACAAAAAAACAAAATAACTTTGATAACAATGCTGTTATAAAATGTCATCTCCTTGATTAATTTCAGAACCGAACTTGATTTGATTACCAATATGAGACTCTGAGTTCTTGCTACTTTTCCTTGTGATCACATCAAATTGTTTTCACTTGCTTTTTATTTTTGACGATCGACCAATACACAAAGATTTGGCTTTAAAACTTCCTTGGATGATTCAATAAAAATTTCCCTGAAATTATCTATGTCAAGATATGTTCCCATTATGGAACAAAATCAAGCTCTTGAATTAATGGTGACACAAGACAATGACAGTACCCAGAGTGTCTAGTTGACATTTTCATGATTTTTTTTTTATTCTGTTCGATAATGTGATTGACGACGCCAATGAAATGACATGTGATGAATTTTTCAGACGGTGCCAGTGACTGACTGAGCTGATTAAAGTGATCTATAGTTCGTTAACTTACGCCACTTTACGATTGACGACCGCCATGCAGACGATCCCACCGAGGACGGCGCCAATGGTGACAGAGAACGAGAAGATGACAATTGTAGGGTTTGTATGAGTGTAGCAACATCTGGTGCTGTGAACACAATCAAAGAACACAACGCATTACGCACAGAGCATTAAACACCAGGCTTTAAACAGAAGACATTAAACAGAAGGCTTCAAACATAATACATTTAACAGAAGATATAAAACACAAGAACTTCAACATAGATGTGAAATAAGAAACAAAAAAAAATTTCCGACATTCCACTGAATTTTCAATATCTGAAAATATATTCCTCTGAAAGTTAGATAACTAGGTATTTTGACACACAGTTTCCAAAATAATGGCTGTGTTTATTATTCATTGATAGTAAACTATATTCACATACAGTAGACAATATTCACATACAGTAGACTATATTCACATAGTAGACTATATTCACAGACAAATTTGATGTCGTTAGAGTATTTAAATGTCCTGTTAAGAAATGAGACGGGACTCGATAAATACACGTGTTCTATGACATGTACGTTCTATTGGATGTACAAACGTTCTATTGGATGTACAAACGTTCTATTGGATGTACAAACGTTCTATTGGATGTACAAACGTTCTATTGGATGTACAAACGTTCTATTGGATGTACAAACGTTCTATTGGATGTACAAACGTTCTATTGGATGTACAAACGTTCTATTGGATGTACAAACGTTCTATTGGATGTACAAACGTTCTATTGGATGTACAAACGTTCTATTGGATGTACATTGATGAATCAGATTACATAACGTACAGGCGGAAGACATCAGGGCATTTCAGAAACCGTGTGGGCGTTTGCATTTGTTATCTACGATGTGATTGGCCCTTTCTATCCATAAATGGATTGGCCTGGGTTATACATGATGTGATTGGCCCTTTCTATCCATAAATGGATTGGCCTGGGTTATACATGATGTGATTGGCCCTTTCTATCCATAAATGGATTGGCCTGGGTTATACATGATGTGATTGGCCCTTTCTATCCATAAATGGATTGGCCTGTCTTATACATGATGTGATTGGCCTGTATTATCCATTACGAGATTGATCTGTATTATCCATTACGAGATTCGTCTGTATTATCCATTACGAGATTTGTATGTATTATTCATGATGTGAGAGGATAAACGGATTTACCTCATTAGACATAATGAACGGAAATTATTGTAATCATTATATAATCAGATCGATTACTTCTATCAGTATTGATAATTTAAAAAAATATTAAATATTTATATCATAATTTGTTATTAAATCATCGCTGATTATATTCAACATTAATTTCGTTTCTGGCAACATATTATTACATTCCATTTCGATCTATACAATAACATCGATTACCTTGTTATTAAATAGAGCAAGACACATAAGGTGATCGTAACCAGGTGCCAGGCAGTTAGGGCAATATTAAAAGCCGTTATCCATTTGATAAAACTGTGGATGATGATGAGCAGGATAAATTGGGTTAATTAACACGACACAAATTGGACTCTCTAAAGTTAGCTTTTCTCATCAAGCTTTCTATCAGCATACATAGGTAATTTTATAGTTTGTCGCAAAATTCGAGAGTTTTTATTAAAAAATTCTATAACGTCTTTTTATCTCTTCTTGCCCTTCTCTTCTGTCCATCTTTTCAATCCTTTCTATGTTTTCTATTCTTTCTCGTATTTCTCCTCTTTCTCTTCTTTATCGTTCAAAACATTTTTTTAAAAAAAATTTTAAATCAAATTAGAAAGAAAATATATTTGAAGGAAACAAAAGATCACAGCCTAGATCTATTTCGTGATTCTTTTCTTTCACTGTATCATAACTGTTGGTCACATTTTTGAAGTCTCGCGCCCTCTAACTACTCAAGTTTTAACAGGCTATGAAGAGAGTGCAATCTTACAGGAGTAGCGCACACCGAAATGTGTCTTGTAAAATAGTTTCAGTTAGGTGTTGACTCTGTGATAGTCTTAATGAAATCCGCGTTGTTGTAAGAAAGGTTTCTATTTGTGCAGAAACAAAGGTGGCTCAAGAAAGATCATGGTGGAGTTTGAACCAATTAAACACGGTGTGTACGATGTTAAACACATGTTCTAGAAAACAAAAACATACTTATCCATACTAAAAACATCGCATAAGGAGATGGCGTGAGCTAGTAATACCTTCCCCCAGGCACACCCCCACATGGGACGACGCCACCAGACCGTGCGATGGCGTGCCTGGAACCTCCCCCTGGCCTGAAGGACGTCCGGTCGACTGAAAACGCTGCGTTTAAATCGTTCGAGGTCCACTCTCCCGTGGGTCACGGGCTGCTTTGCTTCCACTACGGCAGAAAGATGTTGCGTAACCAACCCCACCGCCCAGGGAGTCTCTCGGTCGGGACGTAAGCGGCAACTAAAGGGTCGCCTAGGCGCGGCTTTCTCAGGGCCGCGTAGCTAAATCATCCATGCTAAATAGAGCTGTTTTATTGTTTTCTATTAATATGAGGTCAGTAATGAGGTAATTTATGGATCAAAATGTTGGTAATTGGTAATAGGTTGAGACTTGGTAACATGTTGACATTTGGTAATGATATAAGGGCATTTCGAAACGACAAACTTACATTTAGTAATATCACAGAGCTATTAGATATAAATCGTAATGCATATGCCTAAATTGCACCAATTTCTCACATACAAAGGGGTTAGTAAACACCTCCAAAACTGAACTAAAAAAAACCATCTCTTTAAACGCTACTACCCTGACTGATTCCCCCCTCTGACAGATAAACGATGCGGCTGGGTGCCGTCCATGGCTGGACATGTAAATAGTTCTGAAATGGGTGGGGGTCAAGATAAATGTGTTTTGTTTTATTTAATTGATGTTTGTTAATTGATTTTTTAAAAGTTTATGATCATGTTTGTTAAATTGTTTGTACAGCGTGGTTAGCCCAGGCAGGACGGGAAAAATACTACTATAAAAATACTACTAGATCTACTACTAAAAATAATAATAATAATAATAGTACTCATGCACATACGTAAGTGTTAAAGTATCAATACTTACACACAGAAGTAACAGTTAAGGGGCCAGTACTCACGCACATACGTAAGTGTTAAAGGGCCAGTACTCACGCACAAACGTGAGTGTTAAATGGCCAGCACTCACGCACATAATTAATTGTTAAAATGCCAGTACTCACGCACATACGTAAGTGTTAAAGGGCCAATCCTTACGCACAAACGTAAGTGTTAAAGGGCCAGTACTCACGCACATAATTAATTGTTAAAATGCCAGTACTCACGCACATACGTAAGTGTTAAAGGGCCAGCACTCACGCCCAGACGTAAGTATTAAAGAACAAGTCCTGACGAACGGAATTAAGTGCTAAACGGCCAGTACTCATGCACATACGTAAATGTTAAAGGGCAGGTACTCACGCACAGAAGTAAGAGTTCTCGTTGGCCAGGTCTAACCCTGTCAGTCCCTTGTGTATTTGCAGCGGCATCGCGACACTGAGGGTCAGTAGGTTGGTGACGCACAAGCTGATGAAGTACACGTACAGGCGGTTGCGCCGCTTCAACATCCTGTAGAACACCGCGATGGACAACATGTTGCCTGGCAGAGACACAGCGGTCACAGGCACAGGTAAGTAGAGGCACTAGGCAAGCCTGATTAGTCTAACTTCCCCTCCCCTCTCCCCCCCCCCGAATCTACCTGCGTACTCTGCCAACTCCCCGGTTGCTCTAAACACCCATTATCAAACCTGGTCATTCTTCTGGTCACTACCACGCACCCAACCTCACTTGCCCTCTACCAACATCAATCAACCATAAAACTCTAACAACATCGACAAAACCAGCGCTTTACCAACATTACACAACCTGGCACCTCTATCAAAATCAATCAACCTGATACCAATCACACCATCATCCAACCTGGTACCAATCATAACATCAATCAACCTGGTACCAATCCCAACATAACACAACCTGGCCCCTCTATCAACATAAACCAACCTGGTACCAATCCCAACATCAACCAACCTGGTACCAATCCCAACATCAGTCAACCTGGTACCAATCCCAACATCACACAGCCTGGTACCAATCCCAACATCCATCTTCCTGACATCTTTACCAACCTCTACCAACCTGGTACCTGTATCGATCATCCCGTTACTCTAAATCCACCCCCCTACCCACTCTCCAACGTTCGCTTACCTGGCAGTCCAATCAGTAACAAGACAATTGAGAACGCAACCCTGAAGATGGCTGATACACGTCTGACCCTTCGTATGGTCTCCAACTCGGCACTAGAGATCTGACTGTGGTTGATCTTGATACTGATGTCCACCCAGTCCATTGGTGTACGTCAAAGTCAGCCACACGTGT